ATCCGAACACGTCTTGTTTTTGTGAGATTCACACATTTATATATTAATTTAAAAAATATTTAAAAATGGAAACCATTTGGTCTGAAGTTATCAGGTGTTGCTGATCATGTCAGAGTCAGCCGTTCATTTGACCTGATATATCGGTTTATCACTAGTTTCTTCTAATGTACCTGTATAATTTCTTTCTAAAAGCATTGGCTAGTTTGACAAAAATCCAGCCGCTCTCTTCAGTCCTCCCCGTCGCTCATCCGTCCTGTCATCCGCTCCTGTGTTCTTCTGTTCCTCCCATCATCTTTTCTTTTAGGATCCAGCTGCATCTCTCACACAACTACTGTTTCTGTTCCCCTTCTTCATTTTGTTCTTCAGCTGCTCATTTCTGTTGCTCTCTTTGCATTTATGCTGGTGCTCTGAGAGGGGTGTGGCTTGTTTGCTCCGCCCCTCTACAAATGGGGTGTGTATAAATCAGGCTCCGCCCCCTTCCTTGCTTCCACTGTAAGAAAGTTCAGATGGGTCTTCAGCAATCGCTGCTCACTTTATCAATTATCACTCTAATTTTTCCTCTCTGAGTTTTATTCCTGTGCTTCATTTCTTTGCCATTTCATTCTGACTGATTTATTATCGTGCCAAGTCAGAAAACAGTCCACCTTTGACCAGGAAAGCAAAGTTAAACTGAACCCTAAGCCTAGACCAGAGATGCCCAGATCTGGACACAGTTACAGTTAACTCAATCTAACTAAAAAAATAATAAAATTCACCACATGTGTTAACTGAAATAACAAAAAACTGTTCTCATTTTGTTTGTTAACTTGATATATAAAAAAATAAATAAACTACTAAAAATGACAAAAACACAATAAAATTACTAAAACTTTAACTAAAATTAACATGAAATCAGAAAATATAAAGGTAAAATCTAATTTAAAATATTAATAAAAACTATAGCAGTATCTCAATGATACTAAAATTGCACTGCCTTTGATTTATCACTAGTTTCGTTTGAACAATTTTGGTATTATTTTTGTATTGAATTCTAAAATAAGTGTATTTGATTAAAAACAATTTAAACATTGTAAAAATTGTTATTTAAATTTTTGTTTAATTATTTAAAAAATACAATTTAATACATTTGAATATAATATTAATATAAAAATGTTATTTCTGTATATTGTCTGTATTTCTCCTGGATTGAGGTAGAAAACCATTGAAATTCTGACTAGATGACAATAAAATCAACATATTCAATTACGTTGTTATCTAATTTACATTTTTTTATTTATTTTGTAAATTGAGTTAGATAAAAAAAATCTTTAAAAAAACATTTTTGTTTATTTATTTACAAAAATAAAATTGTATGCATTTTTATGTAATATAGTAATACAACAATTTTATTCCTGTATAGCAGTGTTTATTATATGATTTTCTCCTGGATTAATGTAGAAAACTGATTTAGATCCGCATTCAATTCACACAGACCGACCGTCACGCAGAGTACACGCCATCATGCAGGATACACATACACACTTCACAAGATCTCACAGCTGGATCCGACTAAGTTTGCAAGGTTTTTGAAATTAGATGTTTATTAGACATTCAAAGATTTGTTTAAATGATATAAATGCGTATTTGCTCAATGCTGTCAGTAAACAAGAAAGTATTATAATGTTTGCCTTTCTATTACTAATAATATAAAAGCAATCATTATAAGACTTTTTGTATACATTTGAATTCCTTTGTTTAACCTTTCTATATGATTATTAGAGAGACTTCTATCCGTAATTACTAGACAGAACTGTTAACGTAAACAGAAAAACGTATCGGCCGATGCCGATATTTTTAAAAAAATGCAAAATATCGGTCGACCACTAGTTCACATTGCACGATGGATCGGCGACGGGAGGTTACACACTGCATGACTTTACAATTGGAAGAATCGCCGACAACTCTGCCTGGTCCGCAAACTACATTTCACAACCAAACGCACACGAGAACTGATAAGGAAATAACGCAAGCTCATGTTTGAGATCAGAGTTCTCGTGCGAGACTGAAAATGTATTCAAAATGGTAGCCTGCAAGAAGTTCGCTATACAAATGTGACCCTGGAACACAAAAACAGTCATAAGGGTCAATTTTTCTAAATTGAGATTTATGCATCATCTGAAAGCTGAATAAATAAGCTCTCCATCGATGTATGGTTTGTTATGAGATGCAACTATTTGAAAATCTGGAATCTGAGGGTGCAAAAAAATCAAAATATTGATAAAATCGCCTTTAAAGTTGTTCAAATGAAGTTCTTAGCAATGCATATTACTAATCAAAAATTAAGTTTTGATATATTTACGGTAGGAAGTTTACTAAATATCTTCATGGAACATGACCTTTACTGAATATCCTAATGATTTTTGGCATAAAAGAGAAATGGATAATTGTGACCCATACAATGTATTGTTGGCTATTGCTACAAATATACCCCGGCGACTTATGACTGCTTTCTTATTGATTCCTAGTTTCCATTCCAACAAGATAAAAAGTCAAACATTTATTCTGTGTCTTTTTGCAAAGCATTCTGTTGCAGCTGAATAACACGAGCATCAGCAGCCTACAGAACACTTACAAGAGGAACTTTTGCCTATGCTTTTAACAGAAATACCACAGCAGTTTACAGTGTTACCTTTTAGCCTCAACAACAGTTACGTCACTTGTCCACCGCGGCACCATCCCCACCATGGTTTTGATTTTTTTATAGTAATAAAAATAATTTAGTTCAGTTAGAGAACAGACACTACATGAGGATCTACATTATCTCATGAGGAGAGCGAGTCGAGCTGACTGACAAGAAGAGTGGGGTGAGAAACACAAGACGACGGCGGATGATTTAGTTTACAAACGCGATGCAAAAGAGCCTGTTTGTCAATATTTTGGATTTTGAAAAACCTGTTAACTTTTGCCGTTTATCTAAGGTGATTTTGGAAGTTATATGTGTTTCTCATTTATTTGGTTCCACCGTGTTTGCTGATTTTTACTTTATTTAAACTTTGTGTCATTTATTTATTTTATTTTACATCAAGGTTTATGCCGTGCCTCCAAGCTTTCTTAGTAGTTTCTTATTTATTTGGTTCCAGTGTTTGCTGATTTTCAGTTTTGTAGCCTTACTTATACCTATTTAAACTTTGTGTAAGTTATCTGTTATTTTATATTAGGCATATAGCATGGTGTATTTTTATTCGTTTTGTTAATAAAAGCTCTATGCGTTTGACGTTGTATTTTGGGTAATGCTTTATTTTGATAGCCCACTTTAGTCGTTCTACTAACAGTAAGTAACTTTGCAACTATATGTCAACTAGCAGTCATTAGAGTATTAGTAGACTGTCTGCTTAATATCTTCTAAAACTCCACAACATAATATACCAACTATTAGAAACTTTGCAAGGAAAAAGGGAAAATTTCCAAGAAGCGGGTATTCGATAAGACGCGTGCATTTCGATTCTGCTTAACTTTTTGTGTCCGTTCTCGAACCGTTCTGTGCATTTCACTGCAGGAAAGATTGTTCCTAGCCGGAGCTGACTTCTTTCATATTTATCGACAAGTGTGCAGAAAACTACATCAGTATATCTGTGACGAGAGGGGCGGGGCCGAGAGCCGTGGGAACAGAGCGAGACCGGTGAGTGGCGCAGGTGTCGCGCATTCGCAATTACTCCACCGGCCTCGCTCCGTTCCCACGGCTCTCGGCCCCGCCCTCTCGTCACATTATCATCATAAACACAGTTGTGTTTTGTCTTAAGTGAAGATAAACAGATGAGAAAGAAAACGCACAAGTACAGTATTTTTAGATCTGCGTGCGTTCTGTGTTAAAGAGACAGCAGCCTAATAAACACGCTGCCTGTCATTAATGTTAATCAGAGAACAAAACCAAATCACTCAAATAACTTTAATTTATTAATCTATATTTTATGAAAACTATGCAGTGTTTTTAAACTTTTAATGACAGTTTCTGTACCTGAAATTATGGTTCAGTTGTATTTATTTATGCTATTGCTAATTGATATGTTTGTTCCTGTTTTATTACTGACTGTTTACTTGTCTTTAACACTTTAATATTTGAAATTAATATTAGTCTTGTTGTTTTTGCTGTGGTATTTCTGTTAAAAGCCTAGGCAAAAGTTCCTCTTGTAAGTGTTCTGTAGGCTGCTGATGCTCGTGTTATTCAGCTGCAACAGAATGCTTCGCAAAAAGACACAGAATAATTTTTTTTATATATTGGATTTTTTAACTTGTTGGAATGGAAACTAGGAATCAATAAAATTCAAACAATACCCAACCCTACTCATGGTCCAGTTCAGCCTCTGCGGACGCTGATGTGTGTTTGTGTTTGTGTTTGTGTTTGTGTGTTTGTGTTTGTGTTTGTGTTTGTGTTTGTGTGTGTGTGTGTGTGTGTGTGTGTGTGTGTGTGTGTGTGTGTGTGTGTGTGTTTCTGCAGTCGAAGCCCTGACGTTCCCCCCGTCCTCGGGAAAGTCCTTCATCATGGGAACAGAAGAGACGCTGGAGAGCGAGCTGGGTCTCGGAGAACTGGCCGGACTCACTGTGGCCAACGAGGCCGAGAATCTGTCCTACGACGTGAGTCCAGACACGATAAAAACATTCTCCATACTGGAAACTAAATGCACTTTAACTGGAATAAAATACAATATTTAACAAAAAAATCAAAAGTTATTTAATTTCAGCTAGTTGCCAAGGCAACATTTCTCATTTTGAAGTTGAAGTACTAAAATAACTAAAACAAAAAAAAACTATATAAACATAATAATAAAAAAACAACTAAAAACTAATAAAAATTGCACCAAAAAAATTACAATGAAAACAGAATATAAAAATAAAATCTGTTTCAAAATATTAAGAAAAAGTAAAAGATACTATTATAGTTTTTATTAATATTATAATATGTATCGTATATTATAATGTATGTAAATATCATGATGCATATCCGTTTTTATTTTTACAATTTCCACTTTCATTTGAATTTTAAAGTTTAAATAAATACATAAATTTAGTTCAAGTTTAAATAAAAACTTATTTCAGCTTGTTTCAAAGGCAAGACTTCTTATTTTTGTTGAATTACTTAAATAACAAACTATATCATATAAAATACTTTAAAATATATTATATAAAATCTAATTATATTTTTTAAAAACTCAACAAAATTACAAAAGAATTACACTAAAGTTCAAATGAAAACAATAAATAAAATAAATTTCAATATAATAAGAAAAGCATTATTTTTGATCTCGTTATTGAGATACTATTATAGTTTTTATTAATATTTTGAATCAGTTTTTATTTTTATATTCGTCATTTTAGTTCTCTAGCTATTTAGTTTTTATTATATTTCTCATAAATATAAAACATTTGAAGTTAAACATTTAAAAAATGAAACATTTATTAAAATGGGTTCATGGGATGATTGTTACTTTGTTAAAAATGTAACACTTTTATCAGATTGATCGTGTTTATAATCATAATGAAAGCGGTTAGATGATACTTTATTTTATTTTAGTTCATGTTTATTTTATTTTCAAGTAAGTTTTGTGCTTTTAGCTTTAATTTTAGTTACCTGTAATAACCGTGGCGCTCGGCCAAAACTATTTAAGCAAAACATTATTAATATTTTAATTAAGTGAATTGTTTTTTTGCAGCTGTAGTATGCTGATTTATATATATATATAAATATATATTGTATTTGATACTATGTCAAAAATGGCATGTTTTTAAAGTTAATACACATAGTCTGATTGAATAATGAGTCAATGAATAGATATTAAAATGACAGCTGGTATTAATTTCAGTAGAAATGTGCTGTATTTGTGAATGTGTTTCCTGCTTTTCTCAGATCACTAATAATAAAGACGCCCTGCGGAAGACGTGGAACCCCAAGTTCACACTCAGAAACCACTTCGATTCGATCCGCGGTCTTGCGTTTCACCCCATCGAGCCGGTTCTGATCACCGCGTCTGAAGATCACACGCTCAAAATGTGGAACCTGCAGAAAACCGCCCCGACCAAGAAGTGAGAGTCTCATTAAACTGTTCATTATATAGGGTTTTTATTAATATTTGAATGAATGTTTTCAGTTTAATGTTTTGTGCTTTTGTCATTTTATTAGTTTTTTTTTAAATAAATTAGTTAAACATTAAAGGGATAGTTCAGCTTCAGTTGCTGGTCTCCATTGACTTCCAATGGAGTCAATGGGGACTAACTAAAGGTGAACTATCCCTTTAATATTTATATCAGCTTTTTATTAGTTAATTTATTTTTATTTCAGTATTCATTTCGTGTTTTATTAATATTACTATTTAGGTTTAATTTATTCAAAAAAAATTCTCAGTGTGTTTTTTTTTTTTAATATTACCATTTAGATTTAATATAACTATTTACTAGTGCTGTTAAACAATTAATCGCATACAAAATAAAAGCTTTTATTTACATAATATATGTGTGTGTACTGTGTATATTTATTATGTATATATAAATACACACATGCAATACAGTATATATTTTGAAAATATTTGCTTGTATTTACATGTCTATATTCATATAATTTATATTATAAATAAATATATTTAATAAATAAACATAACCTATTTTTCTGAAATATATACATGTGTGTGTGTCTTTATATAAACATAATAAATATACGCAGTACACATACATATATTATGTAAACAAAAACTTTTATTTTGGATGTGATTAATCGTGATTAATCGTTTGACAGCACTACTATTTACATTTAATTAGTTTTTTTTATTTCAGGTTTTTTTATAAGTTTTTTTTTTTTACTATTTAGGTTTCATTTCTTTTTATTTCAGCTTTTTTCATGTTTTTTTTTTTATATAGTACTATTTATACAATACTATTCATGTTTAATTAGTTTTTATTTCAGTTTCAGCATTAAGTTAGTAATTTTATTTCAGAAATGTTGTAATAGTTGTAGTTGTAGTTAAGGATAATAACCCTGTGCTTGGCTCGGGTCGGTCCGTGTAACCGGTTGTTGTTGTTTCAGGTGCGCCGCTCTGGATGTGGAGCCCATCTACACGTTCAGGGCTCACAGGTACGTGTGAATGCTCACACTTTCATATTTATCGACCAGTGTGCAGAAAACTACATCAGTATATCATCATAAACACAGCTGTTTTTTGTCTTAAGTGAACGTAAATGGAAAGAAAACGCACAAGTACAGTATTTTTAGATCTGCGTGCGTTCTGTGTTAAAGAGACAGCAGCCTAATAAACACCCTGCCTGTCATTAATGTTAATCAGAGAACAAAACCAAATCACTCAAATAACTTTAATTTATTAATCTATATTTTATGAAAACTATGCAGTGTTTTTAAACTTTTAATGACAGTTTCTGTACCTGAAATGATGGTTCAGTTGTATTTATTTATGCTATTGCTAATTGATATGTTTGTTCCTGTTTTATTACTGACTGTTTACTTGTCTGTAACACTTTAATATTTGAAATTAATATTAGTCTTGTTGTTTTTGCTGTGGTATTTCTGTTAAAAGCATAGGCAAAAGTTCCTCTTGTAAGTGTTCTGTAGGCTGCTGATGCTCGTGTTATTCAGCTTCAACAGAAAGACACAGAATGAATGTTTGACTTTTTTTTAATTGTCCTGCTTGAGATTTTTTGTCTTTTTGGAATCAAAACTAGGAATCGATAAGAATCGGAATCAATAAAATTCAAACGATACCCAACCCTAATAACCGTCCTAATGCGGTCTGTGTCTGATGTTGTTCTGGTCTGTCTGGTGTCAGGGGTCCGGTTCTGTGTGTGGTGATGAGCTCCAGCGGTGATCAGTGTTTCAGCGGCGGTTTGGATGGGACCATTCAGTGCTGGAACACGCCGAACCCCAACATCGATCCATACGATTCATACGGTACGTCCCTGTTCCCCTGCAGACGTCAGTGTGTGTCTGTGAGTGAGTGAGTGTGTAACACATCTGTGACCCTGGACCACAAAACCAGTCATAAGGATCTTTTTTTTATTGAGGTGCATGCATCATCTGAAAGCTGAATAAATGTGCTTTCCATTGATGTATGGTTTGTTAGGATAGGACAATATTTGGCTGAGATGCAACTATTAATAAATCTGGAATCTGAGGGTGCAAAAAAATCTAAATACTGAGAAAATCATCTTTAAAGTTGTTCAAATGAAGTTCTTAGCGATGCATATTACTAATCAAACATTAAATTTATGGTAGGAAATTAACAAAATATCTTCAAGGAACATGATCTTAATATCCTAATGATTTTTGGCATAAAAGAGAAATGTATAATTTTGACCCATACAATGTATTGTTGGCTATTGCTACAAATATCCCCCAGCGACTTAACACTGCTTTTGTGCTGCAGGCTCACATCTAAAAGTGACTATTTCAAAAACATTCCAAACACTCCTGACATTGTAATTGTAAACTCTGTATTTGTCATTGAGGTTGCTGTTGCAAATATGGAAACGAAGATGTTTTGTTTATCCTTGAGTGTTAAATGTTATAAATATAAGTACTTGTGAATGTATGCTTGCCATGTCTATCTGTCATTTGGATTCAGTTTTTGTTGCTCGTCTTGTGGGTCCAAATAAAATAATAAAATGTGTGTCTGTTGTAGAGCCGTCGGTGCTGCGGGGGGCGCTGTCGGGACACACAGATGCAGTCTGGGGGTTGGTCTACAGCTCGGCTCATCACAGACTGCTGTCGTGCTCCGCCGACGGGACGGTGAGGCTGTGGAGCGCAGCGGATACAACGCCCGCCATTGCTGTCTTCAACGAGAACAAAGGTACTAAACACACACCCCAAAACAACTATTATAAAACGGGATAGTTCCGGTGCTTGATTCTGATTGGCTGAGCCGAGTTCGAAGCTGTTGTAAATTACTCTACAAACATACACCTTTGTTTACGTTTGTGTGCTGCTTTTTGATCTTTGATGAACAGATTCACAGCAGCTGGTTATTAGGTTATTGGGCTGCTGTTACTTTAAGAGCTGAACGTGATGTGGATCTGACACTGAATGCTCGTAGTTTCATTCACGCTTTAATGTGAAATGAAACGGGCTACAGCGCGAGAAGAGCTTGTGCTACGAGCACAGTATAACAGCTGACAGATTGTTTTTTACTGACATACGCCTGACGACATCTCATCTGATCGCAGTTCACTGTTGTTCTGCTGAAGCTCCTCGTCACCTCGTTACCCTTTCCGCGCTCGTTTGGATCGAAGTTGGATCACGCGTCTGAAAAGTGTCCAGTTTGATGTGCTCGTAAAGACATGCTGCACGTCTAAATAAACGCAATTCTTGTCAAGAAAAAAGAGACAGAAGCAGCACCCAAGCTCCGCCCCTGCATTAAATATTTGTAAAAATTGTGAAAAATTAATCGCATGCGTTAACGCACTAATTTTTCTTTCTTAATTTTTTTGCATTGAAATTGACCCAAATATAACAAAGTCTTAAAGAATTAATGAATGATTTACCCCACATCAAAATATATTTTATTTCAAAATATGTTTTATTTCATTTTATTATACATTTTTTTACTGTCATTCATGACTTAGATGATAGAAAATGTATTTTATTTTTTTATTTAATTTTTATGAATAAATGAACCTTTTTGATCCTTAATTAATGATGATGGCTAGATGATATCAGCACTAAAATGGACCCCAAAATGACAATCTTAAAAAATTTACACATCAGTTCACAAAGAAAGAATATTGTATTTAAAAAAAAATTTTTAATTCTAGCATTAAAATAGACCCCAAAATAAAATAAAGATTTTTTTTTTTTTTAAGTATAGCTGCTAACAATTCACTTAATTATTTAAATATTTTATAATTAATTTAAACATTAATAATGGTTTACTTGTTTTGTTTTGTTTTGTTTTTTGGGACAAACACCTACTTTGATAGTTATTAATATTTTATTAGCTACAAATATTTTACTATATATATATATATATTGTAATTCATCAAAAATAATATTTATTTTATGAATGAATTAATGATCTTTTTTGTTGTTGTTTTTCTTACTGTCATTCATGATGAATTTCAGCATTGAAACAAACCCCAAATGAATAGTCTTTAAAAAATAAAGAACAATTTACTGCACATCAGATTTTTAAAAAGGTTTATTTTAGTTTAGTTTATGAATTGTGTTTTTTTTTTTTTTTGTCTTTGATTGGTGATTATGTTAAGATGATCTCAGCAGTGAATTTTGTGCAAGTACAGACTCATGAATGAGCTGTTTTCTGTGCGGTTCAGAGCTGGGCGTCCCGTCGTCGGTGGATCTGGTGTGCAGTGATCCGGCTCACATGGTCACGGCCTTCACTAACGGCAGGATGGGCATCTTCAACATGGAGACCCGACAGCTGGTGCTGGAGCTCGAGTCGCAAGCCGCCGGAATACCCGGTACTTCACAGGCACTTTCTGAGATTTTAGCCACAGGATTCGGTGAAAACAGAAACGTTTCTTGACTCTGTAAACTGAAACTTGTCTTGTCACACAGTGTCAACATCCCTTTTAGTTTATAGATACTTGACATAAAAAGCCTATCCAGAAAACTCAATAAATGGAATCATAATAGTCTAATCATCAATGAATGGTAAAGTCCCATGATGCTCTCTGACGTTGATGTGTTTGATGTTCAGATGCGCCGTGTCAGATTAATAAAGTGCTCAGTCACCCGACGCTGCCCATCACCATCACAGCACAGGAGGACCGACACATCCGATTCTACGACAACAACACAGGTGACCGATTCTACTCAGATTAACAGCTTTACTTTATTATTCTTATTATTTTGATTATTGATGTTGTTTTTGTTATGATTATGTTGATTATTATTAGTATTTTAATATATATGTAAATGTGTGTATATATATATATATATATATATACACACACACACACACAAACGCTACTGTTCAAAAGTTTGGAATAAATAAGATTTTTTTTTGTTTTTGAAAGAAGTCTCCTCTGCTCACCAAATACTGTAAAAACAGTGAAATATTATTACAATTAAAAAAAAAGTGTCTGTGAATATCTGTTAAGCTGTAATGTATTTCTGTGATGCGCAGCTGTATTTTCAGCATCATTACTCCAGTCTTCAGTGTCACATGATCTTCAGAAATCAGTATAATATGCTGATCTGCTGCTCCAGAAACATTTCTGATTATTATCAGTGTTGAACACAGTCGTGCTGCACAATATTTTTGTGGAAACTGTCATATATTTTATTTTTCAGGATTCACAGATTTATAGAAAGTTCAAAAGAACCGCATTTATTTGAAATAGAAATCTTTTATAACATTATAAATGTCTTTACTGTCACTTTTGATCAATTTAATGCATCCTTGATGAATAAAAATATTCATATAAATATAGTTTTATTATAAAAAACAGAGAAAATTAGTACAGACCCAAAACTTATAAGCAGGGCTCTGAACCGGTTCAAGGAATGAAAGCAAAAACCGGAAACTAATGAAATTTTGACAGGAACATAAATAGAAACGAAATCAAATTTAAATTGAGCGGAAAATTTGCATGACGAAGAACTTGTTGACATGTCCGGTTGTAATAGAAAATGGAGAAAAGCATTACACGATGATTTTATTTGCGCAAATGACACGAAAAACATCCCACAAGCGATATCTAGAGCGATAATGCAATGAGCGTTTGGTGTGCACACAGCATTAGAGTTTCTCCCAGGATATGTCACGAACCGCTTCAAGCATGTTTTGCTTCTAGCTGTATAACCATAAATTACGGAGTAACAGTTTCCTCTCTTAGAAGGGAAAACAATGCAGTTTCGCTTTTAAATTAATTTGTTTTAGCTTGACGTTTTATAGCCTAAATACTAATAACTTTAGAGGCTTTGAATTCATTTCAGGCTTTGATTTTATACGAGTAGCATTTTTTCTTAACCATTTAGCAAACATTTTTAAATATCTTGAAAAAATACTTTAATGTCTTTAAAGCGTTGACACTTTTTCGTTTAATACATTTGGCCAATATCTTGTTAGAAAAGATGATGCTGTATTGGATATGATGACTAAACGCAAGATACCAGCGTAAAGAAAAACCGGTTTCAGAACGGCAATAATACAGAGGAACGCATTAGCAGAAACGTTAAAATACCGATTCTGCTCCGAGTGAACGCTTTAATTTTTTTTAAACCCTGCTTACAACATTACTTTTTTAGAAATCATATATATATATTATATATATATATATATATATTCTTATTCTTGGAAAGTTATTGTTATTTTGATTATTTTGATTTTTATGTTATTTTTTATGTATATATTCATATATGTTGCTGTTTTTTCTCAGGCAAGTTGATTCACTCTATGGTCGCTCATCTGGATGCTGTCACCAGTCTTGCGGTGGATCCCAACGGTCTCTATCTGATGTCTGGTAGTAAGTACTCCAGAACATGTCAAGTCATGCAAACATTTGTATTGGTGTTCTTTTATCATGTAAAGGTCATAAACGGGTCAAATAAAACTCCAAAGACATCAGTTTGGCCTGTTACTCTGATTTTGCTTTGCATATAAGACCTAGATTGTTCAGTTTTTGATGTGTGCATGTTTGACGTCACAACTTGATGGAAAACCTGGTGATTTTCTTGCATTTTCGGTATTTTTATTATAATAAGTAGGGCTGTGTTCATTTATTGTGTTAATTTGATGTGATCAATTATGAAAAAAATAATGTGTTAAAATGATTAATGCATTTAACATAGCCACCCCATGTTTTTTAATCAATCAAGTCAGAGATTCAGTGACACATTCATAAATGCCGTCACTTGCTTTGTTTCTGAATGAATCCTTGTTTTTGAATGAATCGAGTGAGTCAATGATTCAGTGACTCATTCATAAATGCCGTCACTTGCTTTGTTTCTGAATGAATCCTTGTTTTTGAATGAATCGAGTGAGTCAATGATTCAGTGACTCATTCATAAATGCCGTCACTTGCTTTGTTTCTGAATGAATCCTTGTTTTTGAATGAATCGAGTGAGTCAATGATTCAGTGACTCATTCATAAATGCCGTCACTTGCTTTGTTTCTGAATGAATCCTTGTTTTTGAATGAATCGAGTGAGTCAATGATTCAGTGACTCATTCATAAATGCCGTCACTTGCTTTGTTTCTGAATGAATCCTTGTTTTTGAATGAATCGAGTGAGTCAATGATTCAGTGACTCATTCATAAATGCCGTCACTTGCTTTGTTTCTGAATGAATCCTTGTTTTTGAATGAATCGAGTGAGTCAATGATTCAGTGACTCATTCATAAATGCCGTCACTTGCTTTGTTTCTGAATGAATCCTTGTTTTTGAATGAATCGAGTGAGTCAATGATTCAGTGACTCATTCATAAATGCCGTCACTTGCTTTGTTTCTGAATGAATCCTTGTTTTTGAATGAATCGAGTGAGTCAATGATTCAGTGACTCATTCATAAATGCCGTCACTTGCTTTGTTTCTGAATGAATCCTTGTTTTTGAATGAATCGAGTGAGTCAATGATTCAGTGACTCATTCATAAATGCCGTCACTTGCTTTGTTTCTGAATGAATCCTTGTTTTTGAATGAATCGAGTGAGTCAATGATTCAGTGACTCATTCATAAATGCCGTCACTTGCTTTGTTTCTGAATGAATCCTTGTTTTTGAATGAATCGAGTGAGTCAATGATTCAGTGACTCATTCATAAATGCCGTCACTTGCTTTGTTTCTGAATGAATCCTTGTTTTTGAATGAATCGAGTGAGTCAATGATTCAGTGACTCATTCATAAATGCCGTCACTTGCTTTGTTTCTGAATGAATCCTTGTTTTTGAATGAATCGAGTGAGTCAATGATTCAGTGACTCATTCATAAATGCCGTCACTTGCTTTGTTTCTGAATGAATCCTTGTTTTTGAATGAATCGAGTGAGTCAATGATTCAGTGACTCATTCATAAATGCTGTCACTTGCTTTGTTTCTGTATGAATCTACGTTTTGAACAAATCGAGTGAGTCAGTTATTCAGTGACTCTTTTATAACAGCAGTCACTTAGTTTCTGAACGAATCTACGTTTTGAACGAATTGGGTTATTCAGTGATTCAATGACACAGACAGTCACTGGCTTCAGTTCTGAATAAATCAGCCTTTTGAACAAATTGAGTGAGTCAATGTTTCAGTGACTCATTCATAACTGTAGTCACTTGCTTCGTTTCTGAACGAATCTACGTTTTTGAACGGATTGGGTGAGGTGTTGATTCAATGACTCATACATAAAGACAATCACTGGCTTATGGATCAGCTGTTTGAAGAATTGAGTGAGTCAATGATTCAGTGACTCATTCATAAATGCAGTCATTTCTGAATGAATCAGCCGTCTGAACAAATCAGTTGAATGAGTCACTCAATGACTCACTCATTATCACAGTGACTTGACGCCACATACAAGCAGTTCATATTTCAATATTCATTCAAAAACATTAATGCCCATTAGGGATGGCCAATATCTTATCGTTTGCGATATACCGGTAATAATTTTCCGGTACGTGAAATTGAGCAGGAGTTTATCACTAAACGAAGAGCTCCTTCTACAATCTGGAACTGGTTTGTTTAGGGCTGTACAGTGCACAAAAAATCGGTCTGAGTCTTGAATAAATGTACTACAGTAGCACAGTTTTGCATGTGTATGAGCCTGTTTACAAACCTGTTGTCCAACAAAGATATCATTTATTGACATGCTTTTTCTCCAAATTAACTTAACAGCACAGTCAAGTGTTTGAAATAACTTATTTTTGTGACCAGACGTGGTTTCATATTACAGAATGATAAGTGTTATATACAGTGATAAAGGCTATGTCAATTAGCATTGCATTATAAATATACTTTCCTTATAAAAAATACCCAAGATTGCTTGAAGAACACAGATAAACCATATATTTTGTGCAATCGTATGTTTATTGTCTTCAAGTTTCATCAGTTAAAATCTCCGATGTGCGTTTTATTCAGCGATAACTGGATGCCTTTGTCCATATTAGGGATTTCCTGGAGCGTGGTCAGTGCTATTACTTCTGTGGAGTTTCTGCGCAAGAGCGCCCTCTGGCTTCCAGTATGAATTAAACCAATGACGTGTGTACTCAGTAATGCTAACAACACCCTATTTTGGGTAAAAATAGGAAAAATAACACTTTTCTCTAAAGAAACAGGATTCTCTGAATTATCGTCATTGATAGCATTATCGCAATAAATTCCAGAAATGTCCTGATGTCTGCCCATTTATGTGTTGTTGAATCAAAATATTTTACTTTTTCTTGTAATGTCTATTTAGTAATACTAAACTGATGTTGATTGTGTCTCAGGTCACGACTGCTCGGTGCGTCTGTGGAACATGGAGAGCAAGACGTGCATCCAGGAGTTCACGGCTCACAGGAAGAAGTTCGACGAGTCCATCAACGACGTGGCGTTCCACCCCACCAAGTGCTACATCGGCAGCGCGGGAGCCGACGCCCTCGCCAAAGTCTTCGTATGACCTTCGACCTTTGACCAAAACTGCTTCCGCAAACTGATGCACGGTGAGGCCTGAACTCGCTCTGATGATCCGGGCAGGCCTGGGTGCTGGAGGGGAGGTCAACAAACACGGAGGAACCTCCAGACCTCCTCCGTTCAGCCTCACAGGAAGTTGGGTGCTTCCCACACTTCTGCGGTTTTAGTTCTCCTCTCTGGTTTTCCCGTCTTGCGTTCGCTCCTTTTTAACGACGTGCCTTTTGCTACAAACAGTCTCGAGAAACGCGGATTCCCATTGAGGGAAAATGACCCCTGTCGATGTTTTGAACTCACCAAATGCGTCAAATTATTCAGGTTTCTCACAAAATCTCGATGGGATACACGTGAAATTAAATGCATTGAATTAAAAGACTCACATTTAATGCTTCTCTTGTCTGTCAGACAGTGAATTCAAATTGTACATAACATAACATAAAAATAACTTGCCGTACTAAATTTCAACACATTTGTGTCGAAATATAAATCCACCATCGTCCGACTCATTTCGCCCCAAAATTAAGAAAATAAAGCCTGTTTTTTTGCATCGAGGGCATTGTTTATAAAAAGTCAGAATGTTAAACTATTAGGTCTAGAAACAGGCTTCACCTTCTTTATAATTCTGTGATTTTGTGGTGAAATACGTCCTGGATGATGTTCTTGAGATTCAAGCGTCAACTCTAAACACTCCAAAGCCGTTCACCATCAGGACGTACGTCTCAATTCAGTGCTGCGTTAAATATTTAAGCTGTTATTTTACGCATAAACCTGCCGTTTCTCCTGAGGCTTTGCAGTCGATCCAGTAAAACTCGCCTGTTCTGTGAAATCATCTCAACATTGTGATGTACCAACAAACATGGAGGCAAAATTTTAGATTTAGAGCCGTTACTGAATATTCGTTGAACTTAGTCAGTCAAGTGATAATGCGCAGAAGTCTTATAATAGTTTGAATGTGTTGCAGTTTTTGACAAGCTGTACTCAAAAGTACAATGATTCGGAAGTCTATATTTGTCTGAAATCTGTTGTAATGTTTATTTATTTTTTGCCTTTTTTTTTAACTTGTTTTGCCTGTAATGCCAAATGCATTAGGATTTCGCTTCAGGACGGGACGAGCGGCTACGTTACGTGCATAAACACCTTCATCTGACGTCAGTATCGCTCCCTCATCCTCACCTTCTCTACCTGCACAGGTGGTGGTTTGTGTATTAGATTTGAAATCTATTTTATATGTAATAGTTTGAAGCGGATACTAGTGTTTTTTATCATTGTGTGACGGGTGACCGAGGTTGCAAACAGACCGTAACCTGAGTTTCCTGCAGGTTGAGGTTTTTTTATTTAAGCTCTTCTGGTTTATTTGAATTTGTCTGTGATTACTTGAACTCTCTGGGTGTGCGTGTGTGTTTTTAACTGCTAGGGTAGAGATTTTCTGCTTTTATCGGGAATCGTTTGCCTTTAACTGATGACATGAGCACTACAAGACGAGCGGAGTGTTTGTGCGTTTCCTTCAGGTCTGTGAAAAGTGACGCGAGTTTGCTTCTCTACCAAATGATGATAAAGGACTAGTTTAGACAAACATGAAATCTGGCACTGTTTACTCACCTTCATGTCACTGCAAACCTATGGAAGCTTGTTTCTGACACAGGATAAAGAAAACTCGCAATTACTTATTTTTCTCAGAATTATGAGTTTTTATCTTACAATAATTTTTTTCCCTGCCACGATTAAAAAAAAGAATTTTCAGTTTACATCTCGCAATCTTTTTCAGGCACAGAATAAAAACAATTATTAAAAACGTAAATGCAGATTTTTATCTCATAATTTGGACTTTTAGAATTGTCAAAATTAGTGACTAGAGTCAAAAGTTACAAAAAATTTAATTGCAAGATGTAAAAAGTTTTTATCTTATCTTTTAAGATAAAAAGTCGCAATGGCCTTTTTAAAAATGTTTTTAAATTCTATGGGCACAAAAAAATATAATAATTATGACCATCACAATACAAGGAAAATTTTGAATAATGAGTTTATTTCTTGCAATTTAGAGTTTATATCTTGTAATTCTGACTTTGACAAGTATATATCCGAATTGCATGATAATAAAAAGTCGCCATTACCTTTTTTAATTTATTCCATGGCGGAAATTTAAAAGAATTGCAAGATGTAAACTCAAAATTCTCAGAAAAAAAAAGTCTGAATTGCGAGATGTTAACTTAGAATTGCGAGGAAACTTGCGAATGATATATTATGAGTTTATATTAAACTCAGAATTGCAACTCGCGATTCTGAGAAGAAAAGTCTGAATTGAGAGTTTACGTCTCGCAATTCTCATTTTTTTCTAAGAATTGAGTTTATATCGCAATTCTGAGGTTTTTTCACAATTTAGACTCGTAATCCCAGAATCGCACGTTTACATCTGAATTGTGAGAAAAAATGGAAATTACCTTTTTAATTTTTTTATCCAATTGCGAAAACGGCCTTCCATACAAACAAAACGATGAACGTCTGAGCTGCTCTTTTACATTTTAAGGTGTGAAAAACAGAAGCTGCCTCACATTTATCGACATGACGGTGATAAAATAGTTATTTTTTTTTCATTTTTGCATTCTATTCCTTTAAAACTCCGAGGCGTGTTTGACGTTAAGCCCGTGCACAGAGCGCTGGTTTGCGACGTTGCTAGGGAACCGCGTGCGTGCGCGACCAAGTTTTCGTACTAGTAAATATATTTTCTGATTTTGTTAATTTTGGTGCGTATTAATTTTAGGTATATAAGAAAGAATCTCAATATGTATAGTTTTAAAGTATTGAACAACAATCTATTTATGAACCAGAATACAGTGTATATTAACCTGCGAAGCTAACCGTGAAGATTAACTAGTCGTGCGGGAGAGTTTAGTTTGCGCCACCTGCTGGTCAGAGATGGAAACTGTACAGCTGGCTCAGCTACTGAAGATACTAAAGTGCTATTGATCAACGCGATTTGATTATTTGGTTACTGATCGATTGACGTGCTTACTGGAAACATCAGAGTATTCGAAGGGAACGATGACGCGATTTGATTGGACGATCGGACGATGACGTCATGACGGGACTTTTAACCCTTTGGTGGTTGTATAGAGAGAGTTTGGAAAGATCCTGTTAATAAATGCTATACTCCTCTTGTACATATTTTATTATGGATATTACTGTTTATTCTTGATTTCTCGTTGTATTCTCTTTTTTTTTTTTCCTCAGATGGACATTTATCAATATAATACAATAATAAAAGAATATGTTGTATTTCATATGCGTTTGGGTTTTGTGTTTGTGAGTTTTCTTCTGTTTACAGGTTCCTGCGCTGATGGTAAACTCTGGTTAATGGTGAAGAGGCATTTTCTTCATGCACTTAACTCTTAATCAATGCACTTAATTTGTGAGTGTAATATGTTTGTAAATTATATTTAATGATTTAAAATCAAAAATTGAAGCCGGGGACCTCTGGTTGAGTTGACACGGAATGACCCGTTATTAAAATTAGCCGATTTTAATAGTGGGTCATTGAATGTCAAATCAACCAGAGGTCCCCGGCTCACATTTTTTGATTTTGCTAATATTTTTTCTGAAGAAAAATAAACATGTATAGTGATGAAATGCAAAATATTAAATGTCACAGATGTATATTTACTGAGTAATGCACTGTTTTGAAGAAGGGGGTCAAAATGGCAATTTCCCCCCGAGATTCAGAGCCAAATTACAGCAGGATAAAATGACTTCAGAAAGATGGCAGCATCATAATGTTACTTTTACACAGAGATTGGTAGGTCTGTTAGTAAAATCTGTTGACTTTAGCTATATTTGTTGCATTATGTGCCAATGGTGACCGTTCAAAATGGGGAAAGAGCACTTTTCATGTTTTTTCTCCAAAGTTTGCATGCCTGTAACTCAAGAAGTATTAAAGATATCTTAATGCACTTTTAGATTTAGCATCTTAACAAACTTTTCTTTTGGCATCTTAATTTTTAAGGCCCTGTATGGTTCAGGTTCAGAGATACTGGAATCTCAATATGGCTCCAGGAGTAAATTGTTACATTTTCAGTGGTCAAAAACCAAATGTTGGTTATAATTAAGAAATAATACTTCTTGAGTTACAGGCGTGCAAACTTTGGAGAAAAAACATGATGTGTTCTTTCCCCATTTTTGAATGGTCAGTGATCTACTATAAGATGCAAGCACAGTCCGTATTAATAGAAGCACTGCTTCGTGAAGCTTCGAATCTTTTGCGAATCGTTTGTTTCGGACCAGTGACTCGGAGCGTCGTTTCGAAATTTCAATCTCGGATCGGTTTTTTTAATTTGTAGATATTTTAATGAGACATTTGAGTATTTAAGATGAAGAGTAGCAACCAATTGTCTCTTATTGGCCTGTTTAGACAAGCTCTCCATAACACGAACAAAACCCCTGGAAACTAATGTACAGACACTTCATATTTGGTAGTAGATGATCATTTAATTGCATCTAATATATAATACTTTCAATAAACATTTGCAATTGGTAAAATGTGTTTTTATGCACGTCTTAGGCAAGGTTTTGTTGCATTCACACAGTTTTGAGCAGCAGGTGTCATGAGCGCTTCGAAACTGAATCATTTTGCAAAGCAAGTGGTTCAATTGATTCAAAGCTTGGAAAAGATTCGGTTCGCAGTCTGAGAGCCGCATGTGAAGGGCACAGATGCTGTTGCAGTATTCGGGTTGGCCACCAGGTGGTGCTGCAGGATCAGTTTAAAACACATGCGATTAATGAAACCATATTATACATGCTGGGAACTGCAACACTAACAACTAAAATAATTTTTTTTTTCTTTATACTTTTCTCCATTATATAAGTACTTTTATTGCATTCATTTCTTTAGTCTTTTTTTTTTACTACTAGTAATAATATATTTGTTTTATATCTTATCTCTTCTAAGAACTACATATACATAATGCATATTTATTTATTTTGATGATAATAATAATAAAATACTAATAGTAATTATTTTTTTATTTTTTTATCTTATTTTTTTTGTATACAGTTGCTAGATCAACAGTTAAAAGACTAGCCTCTCATCAAGCTTAAATTCATGTCTTAGTTTTTTGTCGCTCTGAATGAAGATGTATAATGTATAGTTTTCAGTCGTTTGTGTTGCAGTTATAGTCCAAAAAAACAATGAGGGTTTATTTATTCACGTTTTAAATGGTTGCTGGTTTTTATGATTCCAGTACCTTTTAAAAATAGAAAGAGTTCAGCTAAACTCATAATAAAATAACATCATTAGGGTTTGAAACCACATGAGTGTGTGTGAATGACGTTTCCATTTTATGTTTACTATTTTATTCTCGTGTGCAAATGCAAGTAAAAAGTCTTCATGATTCTTATTTTCAGCTGTGTTTCTTCTGTTGATCTGGTTTATATAAGCAGGCCCAATCATTACAGGTCAGATTCTGCATTGATTGATTGGTTTAATGAAATGCAAACAAAAGATGCAGCCTTTAATATGCACGCGCCTCCTGTGACCCTGGAGCACAAAACCAGTCATAAGCGTCCATTTGAGATTTATGCATCATCTGAAAGCTGAATAAATAATCTTTCCATTGATGTATGGTTTGTTAGGATAGGACAAAATCTGAAAATCTGGAATCTGAGGGTGCAAAAAAATCTAAATATTGAGAAAATCATCTTTAAAGTTGTTCAAATGAAGTTCTTAGCAATGCATATTACTAATCAAAAATTAAGTTTTGATATATTTACGGTAGGACATTTACTAAATATCTTCATGGAACATGATCTTAATATCCTAATGATTTTTGGCATAAAAGAGAAATGTATAATTGTGACCCATACAATGTATTGTTGGCTATTGCTACAAATATCCCCCAGCGACTCAACACTGCTTTTGTGCTGCAGGGTCACATTTAATCCACCTTTATTTTGCAGTGCATGAGCTGTTTTCTGTAAATGTGCCAGACTTCTGATTCATTAGCGAATAACTACAAGAATAACAAGCACAGCAAACTATTGGGCAACAAAGCAGTGTTTATCATTAGGGTTTGAAACCACATGAGTGTGTGTGAATGACGTTTCCATTTTATGTGAACTATTTTATTCTCGTGTGCAAATGCAAGTAAAAAAGTCTTCATGATTCTTATTTTCAGCTGTGTTTCTTCTGTTGATCTGGTTTATATAAGCAGGCCCAATCATTACAGGTCAGATTCTGCATTGATTGATTGGTTTAATGAAATGCAAACAAAAGATGCAGCCTTTAATATGCACGCGCCTCCTGTGACCCTGGAGCACAAAACCAGTCATAAGCGTCCATTTGAGATGTATGCATCATCTGAAAGCTGAATAAATAATCTTTCCATTGATGTATGGTTTGTTAGGATAGGACAAAATCTTAAAATCTGGAATCTGAGGGTGCAAAAAAATCTAAATATTGAGAAAATCATCTTTAAAGTTGTTCAAATGAAGTTCTTAGCAATGCATATTACTAATCAAAAATTAAGTTTTGATATATTTACGGTAGGACATTTACTAAATATCTTCATGGAACATGATCTTAATATCCTAATGATTTTTGGCATAAAAGAGAAATGTATAATTGTGACCCATACAATGTATTGTTGGCTATTGCTACAAATATCCCCCAGCGACTCAACACTGCTTTTGTGCTGCAGGGTCACATTTAATCCACCTTTATTTTG